GCAAGGTTGTATCATTTTAACTTTTTAATTATTCTATCATAAAAACCACACATGCATGCATGTTATATTAAAGGTTGCAGTGTTTCCTGGTGCTTTAAGTGACATTTCCTTTCCAGAAGTTAAAGTCTGGGAAACAACGGTGGTAAAATACGAAGGCTAAGTTGAGTAAAACTGCTAAACCGTCACACCTGAAATTCTAGAAATGGGCTACAAAATCTTTAAAGGGCTGACTCACCCTGCACGAAGGCCAGGATCTGCTCATACTGCTCTTTAGCCTGGCTCTCCTTCACCAGGTCAATCTTGTTCTGCAGGATGAGGATGTGCTTCAGCTTCATGATTTCAATGGCGGCCAGATGCTCTGATGTCTGGGGCTGGGGACACGACTCATTCCCAGCTGGCAGTTGAAGAGGACACAAAAACACAACGAGACAATTTTAATGTTTGGAGTCAGAGATGAGCACGATGCTGACTTTCTAATGTCATTAATCCTGGTAAAAGCATGGTCTGTTATATCCACCTCCTCTTTATCTGAACAGGGATAAGTTACCTGATTAGAGCCACTACAAAGCCAATTAAGGGGAAATGTGACAGTGCAATAAAGACGAAACACTCTTTCATAACACCTCAGCTTAATCAAAGTTTTCAGAGACCCACCAATCAGCAGGAGAGCTGCGTCCATAACGGCTGCTCCGTTCAACATAGTTGCCATCAAAATGTCGTGACCGGGACAGTCCACGAACGACACATGTCTGTGAGGAAGAAGACAGCCAACAGTCACCTTCATTTTCCCTCATTTACTTTATTTCTATTGTGCTCAAACATTCAATTTCTTCTCCAGAACAGAAAAGATCCCGAAAACATTTAGTTCACCATCAAAAAGTTGGTTTTTTGTTTGAGGATTCAGAGGTTCAGCCTCTGCATTAATGATAAAATGCTTTGCCTGTTCCTTTCCGGTCCTACCTGACCAGTTTGAAGTTGCCCTTGGTGCCAGTGATGTCTGTGGGAAACTCGTCTGGAGTGCTGCTGCCACATGACCTGTAGCACTCTGGCCGGGGACAGCTGGGATCATCCAGCTTGTAGACCTACGACGTGTGGAAGAGAAGCAAAAACGTGAACTCCTCATCAGCATCTGTAAACCAGCGTTCATTCAGGAGGGGGCAGAGCTACGTTTGATATATTCAGCACACACAGCAGCTGCAGTCGGCAGTTTTTATTGTGTTTAGCGCTCAGTTTCACTTGACTACAAATACGATCTTTGTTTTGACTTCTTCTCTGTGACTCAAGCTCAAAGCTAAAAGGAACAACAACAGCACAACCAACAGTTCTTCCATATGTTCTACGCTGCCCCCTGGTGTCAACATGTAGAGAAACCCTTGGAAACCAAAATCAGCAAAATTATAAAGCAGAAAATTTCATCAGGGTGTCATTTGCTTACGCATATTTAGCATTTATACTATTTACACCTAGATGTTTTCCAAATAAGCAAATTAACACTCCATGATTGAGCTGATCATTGATCAGGTTTAAGCATTACTCACACAGACCTAGATATCAGCTGGCAAAGGCCTCTGAATGAGCCAGAAGTTCGATTTCATACAGAATCTCATCATTTTAACTGAGTAAAACAAAGCAGTTCTTTCAAAGATGGTGTTAGACTTTGAGTAAATGGCTTTAATCACTCCCAACCTGGAGAAACTGGAACCCACAATCAGCATTCTTACAGGCTTTCTCTTATCACAGACATTTTACGCAAATGCACCGTTCCCTGTGGAAACAATTTGGATTGACAATAAAGTTAAATGTGTTTGTATTTGTCGCCTGTAGACGGGGAAGTTCACGTTTGAAAGAGTAAATCCTGAACGTACAAACTTCCACTGCTCTTTAATCTCAAACACTGAGGTCCAAAAATAACACAAACATCTGAGAAAATACACTCCCTCACCTTAGCATTGGCATATCCAAGCTTGATGGTGATGTTCCTCTCCAGCTCATTCTTGAACCTGACGGTGTGCACGCCAGAAATAGCTTTCACTACTGTGGACTTTCCGTGGGCCACATGACCGATGGTGCCTAAGAGAGAAGAAGGCGGAGGTCAAAACGTCTATCAAACTCTACAGAGACATCGAATCTGATCAGCTGTCTCCCATACCGATATTGATGGTGGCCTGTCTGCTGATGATCTCCGGAGAGAGAGGTGTCAAGGTCGACACGTCCTGACAAAGAGAACAATTCAGATTAATGACTCGTCATGCCAGGACCCACTGCATCAGAGCGAGCGGCGTGCTTAATCCCAAAGAACAAGGAGCAGCTCACAGGTGGAAACAAAACCACCCGGGATTGTTCTCATAAAGCAACACAGAACAGCAACAATCCCTCAAGTACTCTACTTCACCAACATTATAACAGAAATCACTGGGCATTTTATTGTAGGAGTGTCTAAAGAAGCAAAGTTTCAGGTGATGACTGTGTCTGGTAACAAAAGAGTTTGATGGCGACTACAATGTGTGAAGAGCATAAAACAGGACTATTTTAATGGCCCAGGCCCTGATCACAGTTAAACAATAAGGTTTTGTTTCCCTTGTAGGACACATGCAGCACTACACGCAGTGTTTTTGTTCTCATCTCGGTAAGTCACAACTAACGAGAACTTATGTTGAACAAAGACTAATGTAATTTAGTATAAACACGCGAAAAACACGCTGAAAGTCGTATCTTTGACCCACATCTTTTGGTACCAATTTCCATTTATATAAAAGGTGAGAATATGAGCTATAACAATGTAAATCCAATGAGTTAGAATGAAAGCTTTACAAGCTTCAGCTTTTTACAGCTTGGACTAACAAGAAGGATGTAAGCTTATAAAGGTGTTTTTATGCCGAACTAAACATTAAGAACCATTTTCTAGATTCTAGCAAAGATGGAGCTAACTCCGTGGAGCTAACTAAAATTAAACCGGGATAAACAGGCTTCAATGACGCTGATAACTATGAATATCAAGTAAGTCTTTCAACGTGTGAATCGTGTTAAATGTGGCTGAAATAACGCTGTATTTCGGGCTGGAAGTGCAACGGGTCTGAGCTTTCCGCCCAGCCTGGGCCCTTGCGTCATGTGCCGGGTGGCGCAGCACCGGTATCCGTTACTATTCTCCCGGCCTTCTGTGACCGTTTTACCGAAACAACGGGCCACCGACAGCCGTCAACGTAAAACCACACTGTTGTAAGCACGATATACATACACATACCAGAGTACTGAGGTCCTGTTTGGCCAAGTGAGGCTGACCGAGCGTTGTGCCTGACTCGTCGCCCGCCATCTTGAAAGAAAAGGGAATGAATAAGGAGGCCCGGCCGAATGCCCGATCTATCGATTAAACCTGCACTCCACTTCGCCTAAAATGTTTTCAGACAAAATAAATTTTACTGCCTGGAAGCCTGGAAGAATTTATTACAGCTTTAGAAGAAGGGTTTTTTTTTAGCGGTAACTTCCAGGTATAATTTTAAATTTAAGCGATCCGCCCAAGTAAAAGTGTAGTTGGGTCCTTTCTCGAGGGCTGATGCAACCACCGGAGCGGCTCTCAGTTTCTGCTGTAAATTTAAACCAGTTTAATAACCGCACACTGCTGCTGTTCGTATCTCATTAACAGCTGCTCATCAAGGAAACAGACATGCGTCCCAAATTTATAGTCCTCTTTTAAGAAAGAAGTGTACGTTCATCCATGTGACGGGTCCGTCGCGATTTAGTTACGTCATCTGACTAACTTTCTGTAGTTCTGGCTGTTTGGTCTATCTGAGTAGGATTACTATTATTATTTTATAGTAGTTCGGTTAAGTTAAAAAAAAAACGCCATAAACCCTGATATGGGGAGACGTTAGTTAGGCTATAGCAATTATGTACCCAGATTTCAGGAGTGGAGAATAGATTTGTAGTCCGTCACATCTGTGCAGTGGCAGCCATCCTGTCCAGCCTTGTTTAGAGTGAAATATCCTGTAAAATCACATTCATATCAATATGTTCTGTTTAGGATGTCCGCTGGCATTTTTAAGTGTCCTACTGGAAAACACACAAAGCCTCAGTGAAGTACATGAAAAACTACTCTGTGAAAAATAACTTTTGTTTTCCAGCTAACTTCACTATTTGCTCCCTCATTTCTCCCGTTCACGTACAACCTCTCTGTCCTCTCTCCGTCCTCCTCACTCAACTAGAAAATAACAAAAAGATATTCCTATAAAATTATTATAAGACACGCCTGTTTCTATTTGCTCTCTCTCTCTCTGGTGTCTTCATTCCTGCTCTCCATTTTAGTCAAAGTGTGTTTTAAATCTGCATCACTGGTTTGTGTCATTAAATTAGATCTGCTCTTTCTGCCCCAACAACAAAGTTTTATTTAAGCGATCAAATATTAGTACTGTTAACATAGTTATTGTAGGGACGCTCTGAACTCGTCTACGGCCCAGATTCGGTGCACATGTATGTGCAGATTCCTGTGTGATAGATAAAACGCTGTGATTAAAGCCATTCACGCAGAGTGGGTTCTCCACTCTGCGTGAATGGTACTCGTGGTCATCAACGGTCATCATAATTTGTATGTTAACGATGATGAAACTGGCACCAAGTTTCAGTCCTTATGCAGATGCACCGAAGAAGTCACGCTGATGAGTGAAAACACGACGTCCAGATGAACAAAGTGAACTTTCTGGGAATTCTTTACCTGGATGATTGAGGACTAACCATTTGTACATTTATGTGAGTGCATTATTCATGTGAAAGTGTGTAGCGTAGTTATTTTTCAATAACTTTGGGGCTGTTTAGCATCTCTTTAAAGACAAAATCCTTTTAAGTCTTTTTGTGCTTTTTTCTCTTCGTGCGTGGTTTGAGTAAGTTAGCCATCATCGCAAACCGGCTATGTTTAGGGATTTTTTTCTTTCTCGTTGGAGTGATTCCTCTTGGTAAATACACGATCTTTGATGCAGCGCCGCACTACGCCCTTCAGTTCCGCCCAAAAGGGAAATGACGCCGGTGCAGAAAATGGCGTCCGCAGAGCCTGTGGTCCGCTGTGGCTTTTTACCCGTTTAATTTAGCTCCGTGTGGGGGGTCTGTGCGATTGGCAGATGGACGCTGATGCCAACATGGCAGTGCAACGCTGCCACCCGCTTTCTTGATCTCGGAATCGAACTCGCAACTTGATGTCCGACGGAGCCAGAGCTGGCTGGTCGAAGAGGGGTTGTGGAGATTCGCACCGCCGAGGTGAGACGGCTGGATTTAGGCTAAGCTAAAGCGGCTCCGCCGGTCTAAGCAGCTGTCGGAGCCCCTGTAGCTCCAACTCGGAGTCGTGACAGCGAGTTTAGCCAAACACGGAGCGAAATATCCGCTCAGATTGCGACGGTTTCCTCCTTTATCTTCCACAAATGTACGCCGCCATGTTCCGTCAGTACAGCCGAGTGTGGGGACCGTTATCCGCCAGGGTTAGCCTTTGTTTTGGCGCTCCAGTCACGGCTCGGAGCAAGCTGTCCCCCCGCTGCTGTTTGAAGAAGTAAACACGGAAACCGAGGGCAGTTTAAACCGCGTGTTGGTGCAGATTTAACGCGTTAGCGGGAGGCTTATTTTGGTGACAAGTGTGCGGATGTTTTCTTTTTCACCTGGAGGCAGACCCAGGTGAGGTCAGCCACCGGGTGAGAGAAATGAAAACGAGGCTAGACCGATTCAGCGAGCTGCTTTCTGTTGCCTACATCCCGTTTTCACTGAAAGCAGTGCTGACAGGACTAATCAGCTATGGTACCAAACAAGCTTAAACAAAGCCTCAACTTTCGTTAACAATTTCGCCTTAACACACATTTCCAGCTCCGCTAGAGTAGCTTAGCATGATCCTCATTTCTCAGAGGAGGAAGACATTTGGCATATTCACAAAAGCATTGATATAATAAAAAACCTCAATCTTCATAATTAAAACATCTCAAACTGGGACACGCACGCACACGTGGGACCTGACTTGGAGAGCAGGTTGAGAAGAAACACCTCTCACACAAACGAATGTATCTGTTCAGTACTTGTCGCTTTAACGTTGGATTTTCCTTTAAATTGTCACAGGTGATACTCTTACCAAAGAGCCAGTAAATTAAATATTCATGTAAACTGCAGAGGATGTGTGTTTTACAGCACTTCTGTACACGAGAGCTGTGATTTACAAGCCCCTGAACGCACCGTGGACTGTTTGATGGGTATCCTCTTCATCTAAGCCTTCTTTGTCTCTGAGAGCATCTTTTTCTGTCTCCCGTCAGAACCAGGCAAGCACAAACACAGGAAATGCGAGCGGCCCCTTAGCGCTCAGCCGTCGAAGCCTGTGATTGTTCGCCCGGGCTCCAAAAGGTACGTCAAACACGCAGAACTGCACCATAAATATACATTTTTTATCTCCACTCTGCCCTCCTCCAGACCATCTGTGCCTCATTTTGGCCTCTGAGTTTTAGGATGTGATGGGGGAAGGGCGAGGGGTCAAAGGTTAAAGTCTTGGCTCCTTAAATTTAGCTATGATACCAGTGATTTTTAATGCTTTAGAAGTAATAGAAGTTATTCTATCAGATTTATTTCCACTTCTTCATGTACAGATGATGAAAAAATAACAATACTTGTAGTTAACTGAAATACCGAACTTAAATCGCTAGTAATGGTGATTCGATGGGTTATTTCCCACGTTTCTTTCCCATACACGCTGTTATTCCTGTCACCCATAGCTTCCATCTCCTACAAAAGTAACCTTCAGTTTTCTTTGTCCGTCCCATATTTTGAATCTCTTCCACGTCTCATTTTCATTTGTTTCTTAAGTATTGGTGTTTAATTAGATTTTTATTTTGGTTGTTAAATTCCAGTTTATTACAGTCTGGGTGGTTTTAAATTCAGGGGTTATTTTGGTTTCATCTCTTGAAAACAATAACTTTATATCTGACCCCAGAGTCTGAGCTTTTACCATCTGTGTCTTCAAATAGGGGGAAAGAACACAATCTCATATTTAGACTGAAGTTCGGACCCAAAAAGCTACATCAGGGTATCGTATGATTTCGCTGCGCGTCAGCAGCAGGAGAGCTGACGTAGCTAAAAGCAGCATCAGTTTGGAGGGATTTCTCTTCTCCTGTTCGGTCTGTGAGGAGGTCGCATGTAGTGAAACTGAGAGCAGAGGAAGTAGAAACGGGCACGGTGTGCATCACTAGTCAACTAGACCTTTAAAAGGTGATGCTCTTGCTAGCTGGAGGTGCTGGCCTCGTACTGTGATTGTTGTCATGAAGTTATCAGAGTCTGACAGCAAAATCTTGAAGGATAATCAGCAGGTAACCAACAGAATCCTAAATACAACTGATTTCCATGCCAGCCTGTTCCTGAGGTGAATAACCTCCAAGATTTCCCCCCAAAAAACAAAATGCAGGCTGTAATAAACTGGAATCCTCTTTTAATCCCACCATCATTTTACCTCCATTCAACTTTTATTTATATTTTTTGTATCATGATGAGTAAACGCACTGAGTTGATCATGTATATGAACACTAAACTGCTGAAATGAGACAAAGCATACGGATGATTTCTGATTGTAAATCACATGTTTCTGGTGCAAGTTTGCAGGCGTTCACGCTTTAATTGTGTTGGCTTTGTCGTCCAGGTGATTGACGCTCAGAAAAGGGACTTTGTTAGCATCTGCTGGACACAAGGGGCACTGTCCTCTGATTGGCTCGGACAACCCCCTCTGACATGCCCGTGGCCAATCAGAGGTGAGTGTGCTGCGTGTGTGTTTACGTTCTCGGTGAGCACGTGTGAGTTTCTGTGTGTTTGTGTTGTGCGTGCCTCGTGTGAAGGGTTTTCTCTCTTCTCCGTCAGCTGGTGTGTTGCAGTTGGTGCGCGGCGGCTGAAGTGCAAAGCTTTTTAACATCCCTTTAAACGACCTTCCAGCTCCTCGCTTACTGTTTCTCAGCCCCTTTGTGTCCTTGGAGAGACGTCTCTTCTCTGTGTGTTCAGTTGATTTTCGTGTGGTTGTCATTTCCTCACGGTTCATCCCTTTCTCCTCGTTCACGCTTCTCTTCTGGCTCGCTCGCGCCTTCAGGTGTGTTATGTCGGGGGCGGATGTGGAGGTGTACCTGTCTCAGGTGCACGATGGGAGCGTGTCGTCGGGCTTCAGGGCGCTGTACGAGGAGCGTCTGCTGCTGGACGTCACGCTATTGATCGAGGAGCACCACTTCCAGGTACGCAACTACAGCACATGTCACACAATGGTCCATTTGAAGGATGACTCTAGGTTTGGCCTTTCTCCTCCTTTGACCCCGTTTGGTTTGCTCCTCCCACTTTCAGGCCCACAAGGCGCTGCTGGCCACCCAGAGCGACTACTTCCGGGTCATGTTCACGGCAGACATGAGGGAGCGGGACCAGGACAAGATCCACATGAAGGGGCTGACGGCTGCTGGGTTCGGCCACATTCTCCGCTTCATGTACTACGGCTCGCTGGAGCTCAGCATGCCCACGGTGCAGGAGATCCTGCAGGTAACTCACGCAGTTCAACGGAGCTCCTTGTGAGCCTCAAAATTCAATCCGCAGTCGCTTTAAGAACGCGTCTTCCTCTCCCCGCAGGCGGCCATGTATGTCCAGCTGACGGAGGCGGTGGAGTTCTGCTGCTCCTTCCTGCTGGCTAAGATCTGCCTTGAGAACTGCGCCGAGGTCATGCGTCTCCTGGAGGACTTCAGCGTGGGCGTGGAGGGCGTCCAGGAGCAGCTCGACAACTTCCTGCTCGAAAACTTTGTCCCACTCATGAGCCGACCCGACTTCCTGTCCTACCTCAGCCTCGAGAGACTGCAGGTTTGATCAAACGAGCGCAGATTTTAACTATAAATGCAAAACGTGCTTATATGTCGCGCTTTCTTTGTTATGAAGTCTGAGGAATAGTTGTTAAAGCGACAGTTTAGAGTCAGTTTGACAAAGAAAGACGTTTCTAAACTGATAAAATGATCGACTATAATCTTTATTTATAGAAAGATTCTGGAGCTAAACTGTTTTACTTCTTTCTGATTTAAAAAACTCATCTGAAAATGTGTGTTTACTCTTCTTAATTTGCACTCCTGCAGGCATCCTCACACCTTTAGTAGGAGCGTGTTTTATTGACAGTCCTGGGCTGTCTGACTCCTGGTGTGTGTTTTAAAGAAAAATGCAAATACATTAGTGAGGTACAAATGGCCCAGACTGCAAGAGAAATGTTTCGCGGGGGGTTCAGGAAAAAGCGATGAGCAAATTAAAGGCACATTTGTTGTTCTCAGTACTCATAAAGTGCATTTTATGCAGCAGCTGTCGGTAAATATCAACGAGAGAGTTTAGCGGTTTCATGGTGGATAAATCTCACCGTTAAAGTCAAACTAATCCAAAGTAAAGCCTCCATGGTCCTGTTTACGTCCTTTTTTAACCTTCTCGTTCCTGTTATGTGTTAATTCGTGCAGATGTCAGTAAAGTCATGTAGCCAGCTTTAATAAGGAGGTGGAAACATAACCTGAATTCATTCCAATGAAGTGTTAGTTAATCTGAGACAAAGCAGCAAACACAGAGTGTGCAGCTGTGATCACAGCCTCTCTGTGAGCTGACGGTGCAGAGACGTATGTGGAGAATAAGAAGTTCTCCCTGAGAGGCAGAGGAGGTGTAAGAAAGAGACGGGAGAGGAAGATTATTACTTTGAGATGTAGCAGCTGCTCAGTGACATTTGGTAGAATAGAAATTTAAAGCTTACGTGTAATCGTAGGTTTAGACCTGCAGAGACTCGGGCACATGCACAGGTCTCTGATGGGATGGATTTTCTGTTTTGGGAGTAATATTTTGTTGAAAATGCTCCAGAGATGCCTTAATGTTTTCTGCTGCATTTTCTTATCTGCACTGTTTTCTCTAGTTGCTGTGGATTGATCTCTTGTGGTCTCTGTAGTGTTTGTGGAAGTTGCAGTGGCAACAAACCTGCTCTGCCCCTCTGTGTCTGATCCAGGCGTACTTGAACAGCGACGCTCTGAGTCGCTTCCCAGAAATCGAGCTGTACGAAGCAGTGCAGGCGTGGCTGCGGCACGACCGGCGGCGCTGGAGGCACACGGACACCATCGTGCAGTCCATCCGCTTCTGTCTCATGACCCCGGCCAACATCTTTGAGAAGGTGAGCGCTGCTTTCTGACCGACGTAAATGGAGGCGGTCGCCTTCATTTTTTTGAACTCCGTTGGCTCGACGCAGGTCACCGTAGCAACGTTAAGCCTACAGCCAGCCCCATAATTCACAGCTTTCCTCCACTCAGGTGAAGACGTCGGAGTTCTACCGTTACTCCAGGCAGCTGCGGCAGGAGGTCGATCAGGCTCTCAGCTACTTTCATGATGTCAACCAGCAGCCTCTGGTGGAGACGCGCTCCAACCGCATCCGCTCCGTCCGCCCGCAGACGGCCGTGTTCAGGGGAATGATTGGCCACAGCATGGTCAACAGCAAGATCCTCCTGCTGCAGCGTCCAAAGGTAGCCGCTCGTTTACGTACAAAATTGGCTACATGCTTGTACCTTTTTGTCTATCTTGCCTCCCTTTCTGAGCGCTCCTCGTCCCATCAGCTGTTGGGGAGAATATCTCCGAGTTGCCTCGCTGAGCCTGTAATCCTCCTTTAAAGTTCAGGGTGGAGTGTTTGGATCTAACTGGTTACCTGTGTCTCAGGTGTGGTGGGAGCTGGAGGGACCTCAGGTGCCGCTGCGACCCGACTGCCTGGCCATCGTCAACAACTTCGCCTTCCTGCTGGGCGGAGAGGAGCTGGGGCCCGACGGTGAATTTCACGCCTCCTCTAAAGTGTACCGCTACGACCCTCGACAGAACTCGTGGCTACGCATGGCGGACATGTCTGTGCCCAGGTGAGAGAAGCCCGAGGTCATGGCTGCATAGTGAAGAGCTGATTTCCTCGCCGACCTTCTTCTGAGTTGTTTGTTTGTCGTTCGCAGGTCAGAGTTCGCCGTGGGCGTCATTGGAAAGTTTATTTATGCCGTGGCGGGCCGCACGCGAGACGAGACCTTCTACTCCACGGAGCGATACGACATCACAGAGGACCGCTGGGAGTTCGTGGACCCGTACCCCGTCAACAAGTACGGCCACGAGGGAACCGTCCTGAACGGGAAACTGTACATCACGGGCGGCATCACCTCCTCCTCCACCTCCAAACAGGTGTGCGTGTTCGATCCGGGCCGGGAAGCAGGAGGTGGGGGCGGAGGGGGGAGCGCGGGCGGGTCGGACTCACACAGGACACGCGCTGGCCGCGGCCCGCTGCTGCCCGGCACCCACGCCAGCTGCTGGGAGAACAAATCTAAAATGAACTACGCCCGCTGCTTCCACAAGATGATCTCTCACAACGGGAAGCTGTACGTGTTCGGAGGCGTGTGCGTGATCCTGCGGGCGTCCTTCGAGTCGCAGGGCTGCCCGTCCACGGAGGTGTACAACCCAGAGACTGACGAGTGGACCATCCTCGCCTCCATGCCCATCGGGCGCAGCGGTCACGGGGTGGCGGTGCTGGACAGGCAGATCATGGTGCTGGGCGGTCTGTGTTACAACGGCCATTACAGTGACTCCATCCTCACATTCGACCCAGAGGAAAACAAGTGGAAGGAGGACGAGTATCCCAGGATGCCTTGCAAACTGGACGGTCTGCAGGTGTGCAGTCTGCACTTCCCAGAGTACGTGCTAGAGCATGTGAGACGCTGCAGCTGAGGTCTGCTCCACCGCACGCCTCCTTTTATAGAAACGCACCGTCACGGACTGAAGTTTCCTGCTGAGGGGTGGGGGGGGGCGGGATCAGGTGTTTACAGGTGGGAGACTACAGGCTTTTAAACTGGAGACCAGCACTTACCTTAAGGTGAGGAAAATGGCTGGGGCCATAGCGTTGCTCTTCCTAAACGAAGGAAGCAGCAGTCAAAGCGTGGCGCGTGAGACGCCACCCGTGAACATTTTTAGCTTTCTCAGAAAATACAGGAAAAAGTAATCGTTTGGAGGAAAGAAAAATGGTTTCATTCTGCCGCTTTATGTTCGGACTATGGTCAGCTTCCTGTTCTACTTCTCACCTTCTGTATTTAGGCGCTCCGGTCAGGCTTACCGCAGAAACGCACTGGAAGCGCCCGATTCTGATGCACCAGTCGAACAGACCTGCACCACAAATCCTACTTGAATTAGGTTCATTTCTTTTGAAGCCATCTGTTAGTGAGTGATTATATCAAACACTGGAAAATGCCCTATAAATATATAACAACAAACATGCAGTCGGGTATAGAAACAAGATGCAACACTGTATACACTGTAGTGTAGTCATTTTAGAGCCTCTCCAAATATACAACTGTCAACGCTTTATCCTGCTAACGGCTATCAGCTGTTATGAATTCGCTTCCAGTGCGTTCCAGCTTTCAGTCCTAATTCAGCTCTTTGCTCCCAGATATCATCAAACTACGCTCATGTTCATCCAGCACAGCATCACTGTCCTCCTCTTCCTTCCTCTGTCTCACAGTTTGAGAGTAAATGTATCCTGACAGTGATGATGATGATGATGATGATGGACTCACACAGCTTTACTCACTCTCATCTACATTCCCTGCACTTTATTGGTTGTTATTGTGTGTAAATGCACAATTTTCCCCTCCCAGCGGCTGAATGTGCTGTAATGCTGGAGACGCGTGTCTGAAATTAACTTTATGGCTGACAAGTCAAGACTGACTAAAAGAGTTGAAACATTTGAGAAACAATGGACCTCATGCAAGAACATTTTAATGCATTATGCTGATGATAAAGGACCAGAAACGATTATAAAACCATTAACCAGAGTGATGTTGTCAGAAGTACTGTTAGCTGTATGAAAAATGAGTTTTGAGGCTGAATATCAAACTCTAAAGTAGTTTTCTTGTTAAGCATAAAAAGTGACATAATTGTACCCACTCAACATTTAAAATGAAGACAGTGCACCCTGTCTTAGAACAATATTCCATTTTAACCTCTTTGAGAAACAATAGCTTGTTTATTACCCTTACAGCCAAGTTTCTGCCACTTAGCAAATACATTTGAATATATGACTTAAGGGTCACATGAAATTTCTTAATGCTGTTGAGATCTGCTAAGCTTACTGGTATAACTACAATCCGGTTTAGCTAAGGCTAGCTCTGACAATATTAGCTGGTGCATCAGCACCTAGCATTATATCCTACTGAGTTAAGTAGTACATTTAACTGTTGTTTTGTAATGCATATTACAGTTGCATCATTGGTGATTTTAAAGACACTTTAAATTACAACTTGCATGAAAATACCAAAAATAAGAGTATCTATTCAGATTTATGCAAACTAGCATTAGCCACAGTTTGACTGACTTTTATCTCTTTCTGTTCTAAACTGGTTTAGCTGCAGTCAAATGATCTTTAAACTCATTAAAATGAATGGTAATTTCCAGATGACAAATAGGACAATATTTATACCTATCTCTATTCAGGCTTTAAGGTTAGCTGCTATTACAACAGCAGCTAGCTTTTTACTGTTTAAGCCGCCAACCTTAGCAGTGCTAACTATCTAGTTAACCATCTATGGAACCTACTAAAAGCTGCTTAGTTAGCTGGTGTTTGCAGGAGTTTAGCTCCTTTAACTTTATTATGAACTTATTAAAATGGTCTCTGTAACATATCAAACTGAACAACCAAAATGTTAGTCTTATAAATTTACAGACAGCAACACAGGGTTTTTAATTTTAGCTAAGATTAGCCTTGGCTATCTGAAGATGGCCATCTGCCTTTGGCTGTCTAATTGGTTTTCTTTCCAAAGCTGTAAATGTATTTATCACTTATAGTGGGGAAAAGTAGTTTAAGAAAGATGAACCATAACAATAAGTCCAAAAGTAAATTTTCTGTTTTACAGCATTGCCAAGCTAATTGGTGTTAGCTTGAAGACATGGTTTGTTTCAATTGTGTCATTTCTATGGAAGGTTGTTTCTACAACTTGAAGGGAGAAAATCCTATAAAAATGAATATAAATCTGTATTTTTGGTCATCGCAAAACTTACTGAATATTTATACTTAAATCTTCAAGTTTGGTATCACAAAAATTTTGACTTGCTTAAAAGTAACTTAATGTCTAACTTGGACATTTAGACAAAATTTCAAGATGCTGAAGTGAAATTTTGTTGCAAGTTGAAATTTTTACTTTGTTCAATCCGGCAGCTTCTTGTTTTGTTTGTTTTGTTTTTTCTTTTTTTCAGGGGTGAAAATAAGCTTCCATAGATTGCACATCTCACAATGAAATACAGAAGTAGTAAAATATATTTAAATATTTATAATAATTTAAAAAAAGATCTTTACGCGAAAGTAGCTAACTCAGACTCTAACTGTAGCTTTGTAGTTACTATGCTTTTGTTTATAATCTATTCCATGAAATTGAGGTAGCAATGACCACAAAGTGGAAAAATAGATGGCAGCCATGATGGCTACCCTTATCAGGAGTTTAGCCAAATCTTAACAGTGAGACTTAGCTTTAGCATTAGTAAGGTGAGCCATGGCTTTTTCAGCAGCTAGCTTTCTCCTGAGTTTAGCAATCTGGTTTGCTGCAAAAATACACTTTTTCTAGCCGTTTGTTGTACATGTAAATTTAAAAAGCTATTTTCTTAACAAAGGACACACTTATATTGCACATTTTTGTATATACAATGAAAAAGATCAAATCAAAACCGTGACAGCTGATCATATATGTATTTAATGTCTTGATTTACTGTTCGCACCCCAAAGATTCTTTCAAATCTGCTTCTATTCGTATTAGAGGTTCTTGCTTCAGGTTCATTGTTTCTTTGGTTGGTTTACACACTTCATATTTTATCTCTACAGACAAGATCTGTGTTTCAATGTAAGCTGCAAACACCGGAGGTCAGTATAACCAAAGCATTAAGCTGTGAAAGAATCAAACAGTTACCAGCCAGTGTTTAAATGACTTGCACCAGTGGTGTGTTCATTTCAGACATTAAAGTTTCGCCTTCCCCAGCTGATGCAAACTCCGTCTTTGTAGCTTGCACATCTCAGCAGTGGGACGCCTCGATCCTGCAACCCAGTAAGCCGTGCTCGATGACCAGCTCCGTGCTTGTATTGTTTTTATTTTTGTCTTTTGTTTTCATGAGCCAACTGTGAAAAAGGGCTAGAGCACACACTGATGCAGTTTTGTCTGTTAGCTGTATATTTAAGTTATTTATTTTCTACAGGTATTGCTTTTCACTGAGCTATGCAGTAACAGTTGTAGGATTATTTATTATGACGAGACTTCATCATAAGTCGTGTTGTTTTCAGGTCGTACCTCATCGTCTGTCCTTATTTCATACTCGGGCCGTCTGTCTTCTCTGCATGTGGCTCATCGACGGATGCTTTGAGAGGTTTTTCTTTCAGTCTTAAGGCGTACTTTAAGTATTGCAGCACCTTTGCATTTTCCTGTATGAAAGTTCTCAGAGTGTCATACTTCGCGTTCCTCTTCTTGTAGCAGCGTCAGGCTGTCCACAAATCTCTCGAGTCCTGAGCTGCAGCTTTAACAGTGTCTCTGCAAAGCCACTTTGGTTTCTTTGATGGGGACATAATCCCCAAATGGTTGAAAATCTTCCCCCACCTACACGCCTCTGCAGCAGGTGAGAGGCATGTCCCTGCAGTAGATAATTTACGTCGCATTTCATCTCTTTGTTGACATTTCAAAAGCTTGAGTCAGCAGATTTAGGACATTTTGCTGCAGAGGTTAACGTTTTGTTTTTGTTTTTTTTAATCAGCTAAATGTTGCAGCCATATCTCTGTACCAACAAGTCATTTAACAACTGATTTGGACACTTTAACCCAGTCAAACTCCTATAAAAATTGAAGTTGAAGACCAAACAATAACACAAAATAAACTTTTTTTTTGCTTTTAAGTTCTGTGAACAGTTCAGTGCTTCAGATCTGTTTTAAAACTCTTGTGCTCTCTTTACTTTAGCTCAGCGCTTCTCAAACTGTGGGGCAGGCCCCACTGATGGGCCACAGAGACACCGCATGAAGTGCAAGGATGATGAGAAGCAAAATAGGAAGTGATTCTAAGCTGAATAAAATGTTTTTTGTAAGCAAATAAAACGGCGTAGATTGATTGAAATTCAAATTGGGTCCCTTTCTACTGTTAGTGATTTTAAGGACCTCCTAAATTTAAGTGCATGGTTCTGCTGTCTTAACTGAGGCAGGAAAATGAATCTCTTCATTAACTGCTCCTCTCTTCACATCTCCTCCGTGTCCCTATACTCTGCAGCTGATACCTTAAACGTCATGTGCCACTGCAGTCCGCTCGCTGCTCTTCCTCTTCTTCCTCCTTCTCTCATGTCGCCATTTGAAGAAGAAACTTGTAACCAATAAAGTACTACTGTCCCAATTCGAGGCACATCCAGTCATAGCGCAGCATCCTTTAGTCCACCAGTCTGTCAGTAGGAAAACAGAGTAGAGGATTAAAAAAAGGCATACCTTGCTACAACGACTGTATCTGAAAAAGAAAGTAAAATCAGATTAACATATCTTATAATCTGAGTAGAAACTCTTTGGAAATGATTTGTAACTTCTTTCCAGAAATAAATGTTCATATTGGTCAACTTTCACCTGCTTTTGTGCTTTTCTGACTCTGTTTACTTTGTCTACATGACATTTCCCCCATTACAGATTAATGAAGCCAGTTGAAGAATGAAAATGAATTAAAACCTGCATGCAGGTTTATTATAATTATTATAAAAATCCATACAATATGCAAATATCAGCTGATATTTGTATGTGCACAATTATGACTGAAGTTGTTTATTTACTTTACAATGTTACAGCTGAGACTGACAGAAAAAAATAGATGTAAATAAATGTGATTATTTAAATATATCACAACATAAAATTAGGAACTAACTGGAGAAGTGGGCGTCCCAGAAGCTCAACCTGTATCAGTCCTTGAGATAAGTTTAGTATTTTACCCCCACTTGTTATTTATCTTGAAGACGTTCTATATTTTTAGTTCAACACATAAGGACAGAAAGCAAGAGACTTGGGTGGAGTGAGCTTATCGAGTGCTGGCACCTGCTGAGATGCGTGTTTCCCTGATTCCCCCACCCATTAGTATTTTATTTTGTTTAGTTTTTTACATTATTACTTTTAAATTTTGTTATTTTGGTTTTACTTAGTTTTATTTTATTCGATTTTATTGTACCTATATTAATTAAAATATTTTTAATATGTTTATGTCGATCGTAGGCTCCTGGAGCATTACGCATGCGCCTCTTTCCTTGCCACTCCTCTGGCTTGCCGTAGAAAAGCGAAAGTCATCCAATAAGGAGCATGTCATATGCTAGATTGGTGAGTTTTATTCATTGTGTTCATCGTTTGTCACATGTAAAGTCATCTCGTTTTAGGTACTGGCTCTATGTTGTCGAAACTTGAGGTTTTAAAAACAAAACGACAATGAAAAGTCAGTTAAACGATGCTAGGCTAATTGAAAGCTAACCTTAGCATTGTGTTAGCTCCTCCGTATAACAAACAGCCATTAATCATGAGGAGACACCGAAACTCCTTTTTGTGTTCCTGTTTTAGTGTATTATATCTGAATTCGTGTTAAATACGTGTAACTGACACCCCAGAGTCATCCATCGTATCACTGCGTGTCTAACCGGTGTGTTTACTATGCTTGTTTGCCGCCAGGTGTCGCTATGTGCCGCGGCTCCGGGGCTGGCGGGCCTGCTGAGCGGCTCGGTGCTGGCTGCAGGTGAGGGGAAGAAGAAGAGCAGCCAGCCGCCTCTGAGCATCGAGGAGGTGGGTTCAGACAGAGCCTTTCTAAAGACTTTGTTTTACTTTGTCTGTGACTTTGTTTACATCATGTTTACGACGTAGTGCACACAGCCACAGAGGTCTGGATCAGAGTCAGAGCTGACCCTGGAGGGACAGCTTCTGCATCGCAGAGCTTCAGAAGGTCACACTCTGTATTTGTTTCAGCTGCCGTCTCTGTACACCAGCCCTGAAGCAGCGGTGGCCCAGTACGTAGAGCCAGAGGCCGGGCCGGTGGAGCAGAGGGTGGCCTCACTGAGGAAATGGGCAGAACCATACACGAGCCAGTGTCAGGTTTGTTTACTTAACCTCAGGTGGAAAACTCAAGAAAAACAGAAAATTAGTCAACCTTATGATGAACATGGACATCTGTCCAAAGCAAGCAGCACTTTATATATTAAATTATATTTGACCTGTGAGCACAGATTTTATATACTTTCAGACTGTGGCAGATCACGTGTTCTTATAGATTTTTGTGCTGATGTATTTCTGGAAGAGAAGCTGTCATGCGGCCTAAGCTGTTGTGCTCCTGTTGTTCTTGACAGTCTCCACGAGCCTGTGGCTTTCTTTCTAATAAAGGACATTGTGGGATTCTTTTTTCTTCCTCTCTGCCACTGTTGCAGAAACATTCCCACTGAATCCAAACAGCTCGTGTTGCCTCAGAGGAGGCGGCATTTCTGTTTCTGTGAGGTTTGTGGCCTTGAGGTGAAGACGTGCAACAAAGACATGACGACGACTGGTTGCTTTCAGAGAGACGCCTGGGAACTTGTCTTTGAAATTTCTTTGCTTTCTGTTCTCCTTTCGTTTATCTCCTTCTTTCTTCTTCTTGGTTTTCTTTCTGTTTTTCTCTCCCTTGCTCTTGTTGTTCTTTTTTCTTTCTACCGCCGTGCCTCCTCACCTTTAAGCCTACCAACCATTCTCCTTTCTTTCTGTCCTGCTGTTCTTCCTTTCCTACTGACATCATTCCTTCCTTCCTCCTTTCTTACCAGCTGTGCTTCCTGGCTTCCTTACTTCTGTCCTTCCATTCCTTCCTCACATCCATGATCCTGCTATCTTTCACCCATTCATTCCTTCCATCAGTCCTTACAGGGAGTACAGAATTATTAGGCAAGTTGTATTTTTGAGGAATAATGTTATTATTGAACAACAACCATGTTCTCAATGAACCCAAAAAACTCATTAATATCAAAGCTGAATGTTTTTAGTTTGTAGTTTTAGCTATTTTAGGGGGATATCTGTGTGTGCAGGTGACTATTACTGTGCATAATTATTAGGCAACTTAACAAAAAACAAATATATACCCATTTCAATTATTGATTTTTACCAGTGACACCAATATAACATCTCCACATTCACAAATATACATTTCTGACATTCAAAAACAAAACAAAAACAAATCAGCGACCAATATAGCCACCTTTCTTTGCAAGGACACTCAAAAGCCTGCCATCCATGGATTCTGTCAGTGTTTTGATCTGTTCACCATCAACATTGCGTGCAGCAGCAACCACAGCCTCCCAGACACTGTTCAGAGAGGTGTACTGTTTTCCCTCCTTGTAAATCTCACATTTGATGATGGACCACAGGTTCTCAATGGGGTTCAGATCAGGTGAACAAGGAGGCCATGTCATTAGTTTTTCTTCTTTTATACCCTTTCTTGCAGCCACGCTGTGGAGTACTTGGACGCGTGTGATGGAGCATTGTCCTGCATGAAAATCATGTTTTTCTTGAAGGATGCAGACTTCTTCCTGTACCACTGCTTGAAGAAGGTGTCTTCCAGAAACTGGCAGTAGGACTGGGAGTTGAGCTTGACTCCATCCTCAACCCGAAAAGGCCCCACAAGCTCATCTTTGATGATACCAGCCCAAACCAGTACTCCACCTCCACCTTGCTGGCGTCTGAGTGGGACTGGAGCTCTCTGCCCTTTACCAATCCAGCCACGGGCCCATCCATCTGGCCCATCAAGACTCGCTCTCATTTCATCAGTCCATAAAACCTTAGAAAAACCAGTCTTGAGATATTTCTTGGCCCAGTCTTGACGTTTCAGCTTGTGTCTTGTTCAGTGGTGGTCGTCTTTCAGCCTTTCTTACCTTGGCCATGTCTCTGAGTATTGCACACCTTGTGCTTTTGGGCACTCCAGTGATGTTGCAGCTCTGAAATATGGCCAAACTGGTGGCAAGTGGCATCTTGGCAGCTGCACGCTTGACTTTTCTCAGTTCATGGGCAGTTATTTTGCGCCTTGGTTTTTCCACACGCTTCTTGCGACCCTGTTGACTATTTTGAATGAAACGCTTGATTGTTCGATGATCACGCTTCAGAAGCTTTGCAATTTTGAGACTGCTGCATCCCTCTGCAAGATATCTCACTATTTTTGACTTTTCTGAGCCTGTCAAGTCCTTCTTTTGACCCATTTTGCCAAAGGAAAGGACGTTGCCTAATAATTATGCACACCTGATATAGGGTGTTGATGTCATTAGACCACACCCCTTCTCATTACAGAGATGCACATCACCTAATATGCTTAATTGGTAGTAGGCTTTCGAGCCTATGCAGCTTGGAGTAAGACAACATGCATGAAGAGGATGATGTGGACAAAATACTCATTTGCCTAATAATTCTTCACTCCCTGTATATCCATCCTTTCTTCTATCCTTCCATCCATCCTTCATTAACCTCGTCTCTCCTTCCATTATTCTTCATGTGACACAGGAAATAATCAAACCTGCCATCAGACAGAAGTCTCTGTTCTGTAGTTGTTGGTAAATAGTAAAACGCTCCATTAACAAGTGAAATTCAGCATCTTTATGTGTGTCTCTTGTTTTTTGCAGGAAACTGGCCGAGCTGCGTTGGAGAAAGTGGAGGTGAGTAAATGCTGAAACGTGTAAAAATATTTTTCTCGTTACATTTCATTGTTTCATTTGTTTCTGAGCTGAAATATTCACAGTAAGTATAATATCGAAAACGATCCTGAAACAAATTTGGCCCTTATGAGAGATAAAAAATATACCCGAAACCAGCCTGAGGAGGCTTTGGGCCTCGTGTTTAGGGTTGTATCTTTTTCTTGGATCCTTGTAACTTCTTACAATCGGACAAATACCAGACATTATTACACAAAGACCAAGGCTGAAAACAATGAGACAAACATGATAAAAGAATCTTAATTTTAAAAGGAAACATGGATATAAAGGTCAGAACAGTATGTCATGAAGAACCCTGTACGTACGTCGGCTCTGTAGGTGAGTGTGTGTAAGTGAGGAAAAAACGGTGAATAATCCAAAACCTGACAGAAATATTGATACTGAAAGTGAATTAAAGAGTTAAATAGCTGTTAAAAACAAAACTATCAAACTCTTGTGTGTTGTTTCTTTTTGGTCCACCTGATGATCTTTGGACCACAGCAGGTGTACCAGAGGGTGGAGCCCGTCATCGGCACATCAGTAACGACAGTCACAGGTGAGGAAATGCTCGTCACTTTAATCAGCTGTTTAACGAAGGCGTGTGTGGCAGCCTGTTTGTGTTTGAACATTACATTTAAAATCTCCCTAAAAACCTTTGAGCGCCGTCACTCTGTCCTTCAGACGTGTACCAGTTCCTCAGTGACCCTCCTCCTGACCTCTACCCCAGTGTGGCGGCGGTGGGTTTCTCCGGCTTCCTGGGACTCTATTTGGCCAAAGGTAACGTGGGAACATCGGCTCTTTCTCACTCATGAATCGCGTCAGAGGGACTGATAATGGGTGTTACAGTTTAGGTTTTTACAAATGTGTCTAAAGCGACCTTGACAAAGTGCTGTCTCTTCACATTTTTCTCCGTGTTTTGCTGCTGATACATTTGGAGCCCTGCAGCTCCGGGATAATCTCCGTCAGCCCTCAGAGAGGAGGCTTGGAAACGTGTTAATCTAAAGCTGCTAGATCGTGTCTTATGTGGCTGCTCACAAACGTATAAATATTATTAAAGTGGATCTCCTCTGCTCGTGTCCGTGGACTCTGCTGGAGAGCAAAATAATCCTCGTTCATGTAGCCGTGCTTTTCCACACTGAAATGTTTCGTTCGTTTAAATCAGACTCCTGTCCTTTTTCCCCCTTGCTGTTGTTCATTTGTGTAGATGTAAGCACGGTGGTCTCACTCAGGTGAGGACCAAACAGACCCTCTGCAGGAGGATGTGGTCTCGGTCCAGACAAACGACAGTGTGTTTGGTTTATGGTGTGGATGTGATCAAACCCAGCTATCAGGTGTATGTTGCAGGTTTGAGCTAAACAGCTTCCTGCAGCCAGACTGCAGGGCGTCCAGCACAGAAGCAAAAGTCCTGCACACTGCAACCCTAAATCAATGTTATGTTGGTCAATATACGTTTAATGTTGTGTTATACACAAGTAATACAGCTCATTCATAAAGTCTTTGATCTTATTTTTAATTAAAAAAACGGGTTTTGGGTCACGGTTAGTTAATGTTTACCTCCTGCAGCTGTAATCTCACAGTTACATAAAGAAGATCAGCATTATAAAGTCATGCCTGTAAACCTTTTCCTCTTTGAACATCTATACTGTATTTTTATGTGTTTACACACACACACACACACACACACACACACACACACACACACACACAGTCATGCATTTACTCTGGATTAGTAGCTGCTCTGTCTTTGAAGTGAGATATTCAGTGACCCAGTAAAAAGTGTGTACAGGCAACGAGGAACAGAACAAAAGGTGACTGACTCTCTCTCTCCCCCCCCCCCTCCCCCCTCCCAGGCTCCAGGCTGAAGCGGCTGGTGTTCCCAGTTGGCCTCATGGCCCTGAGCGCCTCCATGTTTTACCCTCAGCAGGCTGCAACCGTGTTGAAGGTGTGTGTTTATGTGCTAACACACAGCAGAACAGTATCTGAGTGTGACTGTTTGTGACAAAAACATAGACTGTATCTAAAAGATGGTCATAAACACCCTGATTGGCTTCTTGTAGCCTTAACTCTGACGTCTTAGCCTCGTCCGTGATGCTTTTTCGGAGCCAGGAGTGTCGGCACTGCAGATGGATCACACAGATGCATGTGGCTGCTAATTAGAGCTGATAGGGGAGGATTGTTGCTCCTGGATCACTCAGAGTCCCTCGCCTGGTCTTTTCCGGTTGATTTAAGTCTCTTACTGTCGTCGTATCCAGAGGCTAACATCTGCCCACACCACGTACTGTTAAAACATGATAAATGTGATGAAATTAGTTCTGTTTCACACTGAGGAACAACTGTTGCTGCGTTTACTTTGTTTGAATCAGTGTGAACGCTTCACCTGCTGCAGATAAAAACATTCAAACTCAGGTTTAGTTTTCTTTAATATTTCCCACAGCGCTGACATGCAGTCAGGAAACAGCTGCCAGCACCTCTGCTTGTTTCAGTTATTTTAATTTTTAGCCACAAATAAATTTTGCCGGAATTTGTTCCACGGAGGAAATTAACCTCCTGACTTTCTAAACTTTATCAGCCCAGCTCTGACGGACGAATCCCAGATGAAATCTTTCCAGGGATCATTCGTAAACACGTTGTGTGTTTGATCTGTGACTCGTTTCCTGTTCGGAAAGGGTTGTGTTTCCGTGCAGGAAGCCCGGGCTGTGAATTGTGTTTCTAATTTCCACTTGGGTGGTTTTAATCACTTTGTTTCCTTCACACGAACGGACAGAGCGAGACAGAGGCACACCCGGGCAGATGCACACAGCTGTAACATATGCAGAAGTGAAACAGAGGCACGGTGAGGATGTGAAAACATCTGGTCTCACGACTTAAAAGTGTGTCGGAGTCCACTCGGATGTCTGTAATGTTTCCAGTGACGTTCAGATTCATGAAAACCTGATGCTGAGCTTCAAAATCAGAAATGAAAACAGGAAACCAGGACTGAGGGACGCATCCAGTGAATTTAATTTTGTTTCCAGTAATAAGGATGACATCGTTCTTTAGCCTTGTTTATGCTCACCACGTTGATGTTGCGCTCGCCGTCTGTGATGTCACCGCTGACACTACAGCCATGTCACTTTTTATACTGGCCAGTCTGCTGCTTCCTCCTCGGTGATACAGGTCGTGTCGGCAGGCAGAAACAGTCTCCGTGTCAGCGCTTGTATCAGATCAGAAGAAGTTTAAACAGGAAGCAAAGCGACCGCAAAGTTGTCTCCAGAAAGTCACGTCCTTATTTCAAGCTGCTGCAGCGTCTCGCTGATTAAAATACAAACAAGAGGAGCACGACCAATCAAACCCATGACCTGGATATTTTTATTTTCCCTCCACAGTGGTTTATACGTCACACAGCAAGTGAACGATCCCTGGTTCGATCCTGGAAGGACATGCAGATCCCTTTGGGGCTGCGTTAGGAAGTAAAAACTCTTTGTCGCACGTACATGCTTCAGATCAACAAACAAAAGGCAGTTTTTAAATGATTTAATTTATTAAGCAAAAGACATCCTAAAGATCTCAAAAAGCAACACATGTCACGATCTAAAGAAACGACAAAGTCACTGACAGCCATCAGTCCAGTTACAAAGACATTTCTCAGGCTTTGAGATTCCAGTAAACCACTGGGAGAGCTATCATACCTTCCCAGTAGTGGCCAGTCTGCCTGACTCCATGAGGTCACAATAGAACCCAGAACAACATCCAAAGAACTGCAGGCCTCACTTAAGGTCAGAGTTCATGATTCAACAATA